TGGCGAGTTAGAAGGCAAAGGCGAATGTGTAAGAAGTGGAGGAGAAGCTAAAGTGGTGCTGAACGAGCGTGGGGTGTAACCGGGCTCCTTTGCGTGAAATGCAGGCCCCGCCGTCACAATCGGCATAACCGCATGCATATAGTACGAAATCGCGTTGGAGGGAGCACACTCTGCTAAAAGGTTGTGACAAGCAAATGTGGCAGGAGAGTAGGTAAGGGGAGGCGGGTTTGCGCCTCACAGAGAGTAACTGTTGATGGGTGAAATCGAATATTAGTTCTGCCTCTCACGAATAGCCATCCCGTTGCAACTCGACATGCAATGTGGCTTGTGTAAGTGTCACAGTGGTAGAGGCTCAATTACCAACTCTATTCCACTCGAGATTTCAATGAGTGACATTGAGAGGAGGGGAGAGAGGGAGGAGTGACGCAGTCTACCGATCATTTAATTGGCAGAGCCCCCAAGTGTATGATAGTTAATTACTCTGAATTTGCAAGAATAGGCATTGGTTGAAATTGAGTAACGCAGTGCACTGGTTGGTCACGATGCTGTAGGTGTGACAAGGGCCCCTGCTGGTCTGATGGTGTGGTTTCGTGTGCGCTGTCACTCGATCAGAGAGAGGTGTGATAACGCGATGGCTTCAGCTGGAGCCGATCTCATTTGTGGAGTCTGCACGCGGTTGTAAGTTATTTGCTTGACAGTTTTTCATTGTTTTATCACTAAATGCAATGAAATCTGAATCTCTAAGCGGTAGCATCTGATGGGAGTTGAATTGTCGTTCCTTCCTTTATACAGATCAGAAGTTGATCTTTGGCGGGATAAGCAAAACTAATGCAGCTGTACAAGTAATTCGTAAATATTCGTAAGTTGTGTCGAAGAAATGCGTCGAAGTGGATTCTGGAGAAGTTGTGCGACAAGGGCAGGGACTGTGTCTTTAGGGTTGAAATAGAAGGGAGGTGGTGTGGGTTGTGGCTCTCCATCAATCAGGAGTAAATATTGTTGCACACACTCTGCGGTTCTAGAAAGTAACATAAGTGCCCTTCCGCGCAAGCTTCGCTCACCTGGATGTTTGGTAGCTGCAGCGGAATGGTAGAATCACCAAACTGCTGAGTGTGGCACACAAGGGTGCGCATGTGCTTCAGACGCCAAAGCTACTGTGATGGGTCTTGTGGGAATGATCAAACTTCTGTGCTGCAAAGCAATTAACTTGTTTTGTGTTTTCTATTGCCTTGAGAAGGCTGAGTGATCCCTACAGTCTGCCGTGTGGGCACACGTTTTGCCTACGACCCTGTCTGCTGCCACACCCCAAAGCTCTGGCAGCGCGTTGTATCAACTGTCATACAACGTTCGACGTGTCTCAGTTGCGTCCCAACTACACCGTTGCCACCCAGATGTATCGGTGTAAGCAGGAAATGAAGGGTGAAGGTGAGGGCGTGGGTGCAACACCACCTTATAAAAAGGAGGTGGACGGGAACATGCTTCTCTCCGAACGTTGTGGCGCCTGTCGGAAATCAGTCGAAGCAGAAGCTTTGGAAATTTGCCTCCATTGTCACCACAGCATCTGTCCGCAGTGCCGTGAGAAGCACCGTAACAATGTACGCATCGCTGAAATTATAGAATGAAAAATGAGTTGTTAAATTACTTACATCCAATGGGAGCGACTGCTCCGTCTCTAACGTGATTTGGAAGGCCACTTTGCACAAGACGTTGAGGAAGCTAACTCATCCCACACACCATTGAATGCGTCCATTTTTTCTCTTCCTGCAGTTTGTTCTAATGCTCCGAGTCAAAATGAATGCCTTAACTCGACATAAAGCATTATTGAAGTGTCG